GCGGGTGCTCGCGGCGCAGCGAGTCCTCGATCTGCGCGCGCGTGAGCTTGCCGGGCGCCGCCCGGGGCGCCTTCCCGCCCTTGAGCTTCGAGTCCTCCTCCTCCAGCAGGCGCTGCGTCTCCTTCTTGCGCTCCAGCTGCTCCAGGCGCCGCTTCTCCTTCTCCTCCTGCGGGCGGGGTCAGGGCTGAGCGCGGCGGCCCAGGCACAGCCCGGAGCCCCGCCGGCCAGGAGGGGGCCGTGCAGTGACACCCGGGCCGAGGCAGCGCGCCGGCCAGGTGCGAGCCAGGTGCGAGCCAGGCGCGCCTCGGTGCCGGGCGCGGTGGGCGCCAAGGTCCTGGGGCAGGAACCGCAGAGCCGGGCTGGTGGGGGGGCCAGGCAAGGGCGGGGACACGCGGAGGGCTCAGCTCTGGCTTCCAAGCCCTGGGAAAAGGGGGTGAGCTGTCCCGTGTCCCTGCCTAGCGTCACTGAGGCTGGGTGGACCCCTAGACCTCCAGGGCGGCCCTGGTGCAGGGGCAGGAGGGGACACCGGGCCTGGGAGACAGGTCCTCGACGACCCCTGCCACCGGCAGGCCGGGGTGCGGGGTCCTGAGCAGCGAGCCGCGCCCCTGTCCCCGAGGACCCCTGCCTGGCACTCTGCCCTCTGTCCGCACGCCTGTGGTCCGGCGTGGAGAAGCCCGGGCCCCAGGAGAGGGCCCTGCCTGACGCCCGCGGCAGGAAGCGGGGTGTTAACGCCGAAGCCGTCCCGGGAGCGCAGCGTCCTGCCTCCGGCAGGCACCTCGGGCAGGCCCCCTGGACTCAGCCTCAGCGCCCTGCGGCTCAGCACCCACGCAGGCAGCCCAGGGCAGCCAACGCCGCCGGGCCCCAGGGCCTTGGCAGGGCTGAGCCCGGACGGCCCTGCCCGCGCCTCCCCTGCCGTGCGCCCCGGCTCTGCCCCTCCGCACAGCTTCCCTGCGGCCCCAAGATCTGCCCCCTCAGGAGCCCCCTGGTCCCAGGCGCAGCGCAGCCGGCCGCACCGCGAGGTCTGCGAATGTAGCAGAGGCTGCCGTCCCCAGGAGGCCACATGGGTCCTGAGGGTGCAGGTGACGGTGGTGGTACCGGTGACAGCTGGTGCCCCCCGTCCTGCGGCAAGATGCCCCGTCAGCACGCGGCACCAAGCCCCCGCTAGAGGGCGCCGCCCCCACCTTACACCTGGCTGCCGCGGCGCCTGAGCTAAGCGAAACTTAGTTTCGGGGCGCTGAGGATCGGTCCCAGGGCACCGGGTGTGCCAGGCAAATCTCCACCATGGGCCGCACCCCCCCGACCTGCTAAGCTGGGTGGTCCCAGCCTGGGTGCGACACCGCGAACCTGCCTCAGCCTCCCCAGTTGCTGGGATTACAGGCACGCACCCCCGCACCCCATTTAAACCTCCACTCTTTTTCAGTTACCAGCCTGTGTTATTTCGTTCTAGACGCCCAGGCGTGTCACTGGCGGAGGGGCCCCGGGGCTGGGAAGGCTGCAGAGAGCAGGGCCGGCAGCCCACAGCCAGCGCTGGGTACAAAACCACAACGACTTGCAGAGCGTTTGATGCTGCGGGTCGGCGCCCGGCAGCTTCAGGGTCCCCTCTGAGCCTGGCGTGGTGACACAAACCTGCCACTCCGGCTCCTCCGAGGCGAGGTGCGCACGTGGGGAGTGTCTGTGGGGCGGATCCCAGGGCTGCCTCATGCCAGGCAAGTGGCCTGCCAGGGAGCCACAGTCCAGCCTAGAGACCCCATCTCTTTAAAAAGATAGCCAGATGTGGCGCACATCTGTCATCCCAGCACTCGGGAGGCTGAGGCAGGGGGATCACCAAAGGTCTGAGGCCACCCTGGGCTACAAAAGTGAGTTTGAGGCCAGACGGAATGAACTACATAGCGAAACCCTGTCTCAAAGAAGACGGAAAACAAAACCAAAGAAAAACAGACCCAGAAAGGACCAGGTGGTGGTGCATACTTGTCCTCCAGGCACTCAGGAGGCTGAAGAAGGATCCCCGAGTTTAAGGCCAGCCTGGGCTCCAAAATGAGACCCCGCGTCTCACAAAATAAAACAGACTAACAAATTAAATAAAGAGCCAAGTGTGACGGCGCGTCCTGTCATCCCAGCACTCAGGAGGCTGAGGCAGGAGGATCACTGGGAGTTCGAGGCCCTCCTGGACTAAGTAGCAACTTCCTATCTTTAAAAAAAAATATTTTTAAAAAAATAAAAGTAAAACAATGTAAAAATGTCTGGGGACCCAGTGCAGCGTGGGGGTTGAGAGCCGGCCACGCCAGGGCCGTGGGCCAGGAGGGCACCACCTGCTGGGCGCCGTGGAGAGCACGGGGCCGGGCGCACCCGTGCCCGCGTCCACGTGTCACAGCCCCTGTGGGTGGCCGGCTGTGGGCGCGTCCAGGGCGCAGAGCAGCGCTGCCAGCCTCCCTCTGCCGGACGTGAAGGGCACCAGCGCCGGGTGGAAACCGGAGGCGTCTCCTCCCAGCCAAGGGTCCCCGCCCGGCCCCGCGAGCGCCGCTCACCTTGCGCAGCTCCCTCCTCATGACGTGTTTGTCCTCATCCCTCCAGTACGCGTCCTCCAGCTCCTTCTGCTTCCGGGCATCGGCCGCAGCCTTGGCCTCAGCCCTCCGTGCCCGGGCGGCCGCCGACTTGGTGTTCTCGCCCTGGAACTTCTTGGGCATCCCTCGGCAGCTGTGGGGGGACAGCGCTGAGCCGGGCGGGGACGAGCTCCGGTGCAGTGGCTGTGGTGCCGGTCGGCCCAGACTCCCGTGGAACAGGACGAACCATGTTTGGTTTTGGGTTTTTTTGAGTCAGGGTCTCCTATGTAGCCCAGGCTGACCCCGAGCTCAGAGTGATCCTCCTGCCTCAGCCTGCCAAGTGCTGGGATGACAGCCGTGCACCACCACACCCAGCCTCAGGCTCTCATGGGAGGGGGATTCCAGCCCCCTAGGTGGGAAATAGACACACAAGCCAACCCCCGCCCCCCGGTCTCTGCAGCAAAGGCTAACTGCAGGACAAGCAGGTCCACACCACAGGACCTTGGCACTTGCTCTGCACTCCACTCCCTGCGCACTTTTTTTTCTAGTAAACTCCTATTTAAACTTCAGGGCGGCCAGGCGTGGTGGCGCATGCCTGTAATCCCAGCACTCAGGAGGCTGAGGCAGGAGGACTGCTGCATGTTTGAGACCAGCCTGGGCTACAAAGTGAGCTCAAGGCCAGCCTGAACTGCATAGCGAGACCCTGTCTCAAAAAGACAAAAAAACTTCAGGGCCCCACTCACGTGTCCCCACCTCCAGGAAGCCGTCTGTGAGACCCTAGAGATTCCTGACTCATACCACAAACCTCTCACAGGCACTTGTGTGCGTTACCGTGTCATTAATTTATGATTATTTGACAAAGGTCCATCTCCCCCATCAGGCCAGGAGTGAGAAAGTGCTGTCCACACGGTGAATTCAACCAGCAGACACGAGCGTGGATTTCCCAGTGTCTTTTGGTACCAGGAATCAAACTCAGGACCTTGCATTTGCCAGGCAGGCGCTTATGCCACGGAGCTATATCCCCGGCCCCTTCCCAGTGTCTAGAACTGTGACAGAATCTATTTCTGTTGCTTACACCACCTAGTCTGTTTTTTTTTTTTCTGTACCAAGGATTGAACCCAGGGCCTTTGCATTGAGCTACATCACCAGCAATTTTTATTCTGAGACAGGGTCTTATTCAGTTCCTCAGGCTGGCCCAAACTGAGATCCTCCTGCTTCAGCCTACCCAGGAGTTGGCCACTAAGCCACTCTCCCAGTCTGGTACTTTATCGTGGCAGGCTGGGCCGACTAATGCAGACACCTTTTCTTTGCTGAATGGTCACAGAAGGACAAGGACACACACACACACACACCATTTGAAACAAGACACATGGAATGTTGGAATGCCGGAATGCTGTTCAGTTGCACAGCACCTGGCTGGCCAGCACCAGGCCCTGAGTTCCATTCCTGGTAACCCCGTCCCCCGAAAGAAACACAAGACGGGGCACCTGGTGGGTGTGGTACGCTATAGGAAGAGGCCACCTGCACTGGCAGGAGTTACCAGGCGCCATGGAAGCTGTGATGAAACCACGTGGGGCGCACCCATCAGGAGCTCCCCAGAGGAGACGTGAAAGAAGAAGCCTTAAAAAGTGAGGCAAACCAGGCCGCTGGCGCACGCCTGTCATCCCAGCACTCAGGAGGCTGAGACAGGAAGGGGAAGATCACTGTGCGTTCGAGGCCACCCTGGGCTGTACAGTGAGTTCAATACTAGCCTGCATTACACAGCAAGACTGCTATCTTCAAAAACAAAACAAAACAAAAAGAGGCAATCGAGTCGGGCACAATGGCATATGCCAGTCATGCACATCAGGACTCTAGGAGGCTGAGGCAGGAGAATCTCAAATTTGAGCCCAGCTCAGGAAGCTTAGCGAGACCCTGTTTCAAAAAAGGTCTGGAGGCGGGCGTGGTGGCGCAAGCCTGTAATCCCAGCACTCAGGAGGCTGAGGCAGGAGGATCGTTGCGAGTTCGGGACCAGCCTGGGCTACAAAGTGAGTTCAAAGCCAACCTGAACTGCATAGCGAGACCCTGTCTCAAAAAGACAAAGAAAAAGGTCTGCGATGCAGCTCATTGCAAAGGCCCTGGGTTCAAACCCCAGTACCGGGGGTGGGAAGATTCGAGCCTGCAGTGGTGCGCAGGAGGCAGCTGGGGAGGGGCTTCGATTCCGCGGTGGCGGTCACGAGCGGCCACGTCTGTGACTGGCAGGCGGCGGGAGGGAGTCGGGGGCAGGCGCGGGCTCCCTCGGCCGGGTCTAAGCCCACGCGATCTCTCGGCAGAAGGAAGGACGCGGACGAGGCGCGAGGCTGCCGCCTCCCAGCAGCGCTCCCGCCGCCCGCGGT